TTGTACCTATGAAACTTTGTAAGATCATATCGTAGAGATTGGGTTGGTTTTACCAACGTGATCATCAAAGGGCAAACTTCAAAATTTGACTTGTCATAGGCAATATTCAATTTGATTCTTTATCACGCTAATCTCTCTCTTTCTTTCATTTTTATTTTTTTTTTATTTTTTTCTGACTGTCCAACGGAGGAAGAATTCTATCTTATTAATGAATATATCGAGTATAATACCTAACGATAGATATTACTCTTATTAATTTTTTTTTGAATGTTATCCATCGATAAGAAATCTTCTTAACAATCGTTTATAAATATATGATACGATTGATGATCGATGAATAATTTGATTTTTCTTTGAATTAAATTTCATTCAATGTCACGAAACTTGTCTAACAAATCTGTGATTACTCTTTAAAATTTGTATAGAAATCTTAAAGAATTGCAGGTTAATAATTTATTTCCACGAACAAAAGAGAATGGTCATTGATTTCTCAATAAAATAACGCTTATTAGACTTAATTCTCCATTAATATGAACGATGTTAAAAAAATGTTGGCGCTAAACGACTGTCGTAATTTCGTCGAGTTCCGTTCCTTTATAGGATAGTAAAAATTATGTTGCTTGAATAATAAAACAAGATAAATTTAATGTTGAACCGTGCAAAAGTTTAACTTTATTGTTCAGTGAGAAGATGAAATGTGCGCGCGTTAATCTATCTATCTCGCTGAATGAAAAGGAAAAGAAGAACGTTATCAACGATAACGACGACAAAAACACGTAAATATTATAAAGATATTTAATTATGCATGTTACACGATCATAAATAAATATAATTTGATCAAAGGAATTATTCAAAGTATATAAATATAATATTTTTCATACGTATATACGTGAAAGAGAATTATTTTTTTTAATTGTACTTTTAGAATAAAAAAAGAAAGCTCTTTTTTAAATTCCGACAAACACCGCCGTGTAGAAAGTTGCATTACATGAGATTAAACATTCTTCTATTTTTTCTCTGTACTTATTAAAAAATTTTTAAATTACAACTTCTAATTAATAACGTTGAAAGTACATTTTTATTATTATGGTGTAAGATCATTCGATCTTTAAGGTATTCTTTAGGTATTGCATTAATTCTTTTTGACATAAAGTTTTTATCCTTTCTCGTTAATTTTCACTTTTCTAATTAAATTCCCGGAGGAAATTCATAGTCAAAGAAATGAATAGAATTATTTCATTTTTAGATCCTTCTCTCGTAGAAACGAAAATATATTGCATTAAACGAGCACAAGAGCTACGAATATTATATTATTATTTCGTTCGAGTCGATATACACATAAGTATTATTCGAGCTTCGGGTTTATAATTGTTTCTTTTTTTTTTTTTCTTTTTTTTTTTTTTTTTTTTTTTTTCTTACGTTAAATACAATACTTACTGAACGCAAAGGATTTATTTCTTACGTCTAAAAGAGAGAGGAAGAAAATTTTTTATTAACAAATTGATTCGAAATTTTTTAATTTAATGAAAAATTTATATTCTAGAATAGATTATAAAAAGAACGAACTTCGGAAAGATGTCATAGAAAAAAGTCGGTTATTCAGCAAATAAAGCAGATTATAATTGATGGAAAAAAATTTATTTTATAGAATTAATCCTTCCTCTTAAGAAGTATTTATGCAAATATCATAAGATTTTGCGTTCGTTAATATTTGGAATATTTGCATTTCTTTTTGTTCAGATATTCAGTATTAATTTTGCAAGAACCAATTAATATAATTCCAACTTATTCCAACGCATTGATCAGAAATTATAGTTGGGCACGTAGCTCATTAGAGAGAGAGTGGGACTTCTGGCTTTTACTCTAAAGACTTATACGGTTATTATTAGAAATGAATTAGTCAGTAATTCTAATCCATTCTATGTTACCATTATACTATTTGTATGGTTACAAGCTTCCGGAATTTCAACTATAGTAGGATTATAGAAGTAGCTGAAAAGCTCCTAATCTATAAACCACTAGTGTTCTGAAAGTCATTATCAAACGTGACACTGAACTACTTCATGTACTATTCACGAATACTCGAGCATCGTGAGTACTACGCGTTTTCTAAGAGCACTGGATTTGACTCGAATATTGAGAAATCCTTGATCGCCTTACAAAAGAGGCCAAAACCAATCTGGTTTCATCCTCGAATCACTTCTCCTTTGTTATTTTCCTTGCTGAAACTTCAAATTGTTACAAATCTTTAATAACTATCATCACGTTGATTCTAATAATTATAATTAGATTCTCTTAAAAACTAGTAATAATTATTTTTTAGTTTTTCATTAATCGAACGAACAAAAATATTAATACCATTTATAATAACTTATAACGGTACTAATTAAAAATGCTATTAAATGAAATTGTTTGGCAAAAGGTCTTGTTTAACTTTTTTAATTAATTCATTTAATATAATTAATTAATTAATTTTTATAAAATATCTTTCAGTATTTTTTACATTATTTTCGGAACTTCATACAGATCATAAATAGATAGAAAATAAGCATAAAGTGAATAAAGTTACAAGAAAAACGGCGTATCGTACGTTATGCATGACATATTTCATTAGAAACGAGAGCTTATTAACTTACGAAATCTATCTGGAAATGTGGGAAACATATAAGCGTAAAGTAACATGATAGAAGATCGTAGAGCGGTTAAACGAAAGTTAGGGGAGGAATGTAGAGGAGGTACAGAACAGGTGAATCCGGGTCATACTGGGCGAGGAACACCAGTAACACCAGGTCACGAACCACCATCTACCACTCTATCTTAACTAGGTCACTTGTCAAGCCTCCTTCCCTTTTCTCTGTCTCTCGCTCACCATTTCCATTTCTCTATCTCTATTTCTATTTCTCTGTCTATCATGTCCTTTGTTCTTGTAATTAATTATCAGTTATTATTGCGTCATCCTTAAGAAATATAATTGATAGGATACTCATCGGCTAAGAAATATAATAAACAGGAACATAATTAATTTCTTAATTAAAAATTTGCGTCTCGATACGCCCGTGATTTACAAAGGAGAAAGTGTTAATGACATCTGAAGTATTCTCGTAACGACGACATAAAACATCTTCATTTCAAACAAAGTTTCCAAATGACGATTAAACCTTTCGAAATTTCGACGTTATCAACGACAAGAAGTATCTTGAGGATAGAATCAAAATAGCGTGAAACCTCGAATAGACCAAGATCAAGGGAATTTCTTAATAATGAATAAAAGTGAAACTGTCTTATAAAGGTTTAATAAACGCAACCCCTGACAAGTGAAATGACTAATAATTTAAACCTTTGTCTATCAAAATATAGTATAGTACAGATTGTATCTAATATATTCAAAGAGAAGGCGAGCATGGATGTTATTAGAAGCAGCGAATAACACTCCGTCTAATGATTTCTTTATAAATACTCGTTGACACTATGAGAAAAATGAGTCTAATTTCAATTAGTTTCCTCCTTTTGTTTTTGTTTATCTATCGCATACTGTTATTCTAAGAACTATGACCATATTTACTTATGATCTGAATTAAAGTTTCGAGCCTATTTGAATTAATTTAGATGCATAAATAGTAGGAATATATTTTATTCACTGTATATCATATTCATATATACATATATATATATATATATATATATATATATATATATATATATAAATGTGAAATATATTTTTTAATATCGCATAGAGTAAATGAAATAATACAAACAATCAACTATGTAAAATTGTGGTAATAGATAGGCTGAAAAAAAGATAACCTGCTTAATAAAATATTCATTTGTTAATGTTAACTTTCAACAGATTGTAATTAAAACCAATTGACGTTGGCCTCTGCACTGATGTACAAATATCCATGCGTATATCAATTTCCTACTATATCAATATTCTTTATTCATAACGAGTAGCTACAAATGTGCTGAATAATTTTTTTCGCAAACGCACGAGAATCCTTACGGTGCACATACTTAATGAACTATTATTATACCATCATTAAATCGGATTAATCTTACGACGTTGAGTTCTTTTCCATGCATAATTCATCATAATAAAATTACCATTAGACACAGGTTTTTTATTAACAGGTAGACAATTGTGGAGATATTTTATCATAATTCAAATTTTTTAGTATTTCGGTTCTTTAATTTCAGACGTTGCTTTATTTTTTATCATCATTCGGATTTATATAAATATAGTGTACATATATATGTGTGTGTGTGTGTGTGTGTGTGTGTATTATAGAAATAAACATTATACAGGAAAATAAATGACATAATTGTTTTATCTTTTAAATTTTTAGATTGATGTTCATTTCGATCGTCGATATATCAATATAGTCGTTCATTGCTGACTGCGTTTCGACGAATACGCTTCCCATTTTTCATTAACACTTTTGCACTTTATCCTTTTATCAAAAATACATACGAATAAACCATTGAGGCGAAAAGTGATTTATGAGTGAAAATATTTCGTGATATAAATTTGAGATAATTCCATCTAACCGTTATCGAAAATATTGTTCATTATTATCGAAGGTTATAGAAAATATTCTCGAATAATGAGAAAACTCTTTTATCTTACAATTTATAATTAACAAACCTTACTACAATAGAATTGCGATATTCATGAAACTATTTGAACAGTTATACCCATTATTTCCTTAATTAATCGACTGGAACTAGCTCGTTAATGTCAAATTAATTATCAAAGCCCTCGTATTGAAAAAATATGCCACTAAATTCATCAAAATATAATTTACTTTGTACAATGAGAAATAGTTTGTTTAACATAACTAAAGTCATGATCGACGAACACTAATAAATTATATCTTTAAGCTGATTGATAAATATCAAGAAAAATTGATTGTATTGTAAATGTACGATATAAATACATTTATTCGACAATCATAATTAATATAAAAGTATTATATATATATATATATATATTTTTTTTTTACCATTTCTTTCTTCTAACACCTGTTTGATGACACAGCGATAGGATTGAACGCACAAAACCAGCGAGTGTTTTTTAAATGTCCATAAGCACGACGGTCGGCCAAAAGTCTTGTGTAACAAACGGCGAATGCCTCTCTCGTTGTTGACGGGACGACGAAGCAAGAGATAATGACTTTGGTCGAATACGTAAAGATCTTAAGAGGCCTGATTTGTCCTACACGAAAACAACAAAAGTCACCTCACCAAAGGTGACTGGAGAATACCTTAGATATTTCCAATAGTAAGTTTATTTACAGTGTTGGCAGTGAATTGGCAACCTAGGAAAAGGAAAGTCGCTCTGTTCGGCAAGCTTTAGTTAGAGTAGAAGAGACGTCGTGGTAGTAACGATTTGTTGTATACGGATGTCGTATTATTTTATAAATCCTCATGGCGTATAAACTTCCATTTAAAAGAATCAAGTGCTTTGATGTATGTGTCAATTAAATTGTGCTCACTTAAATCATGAAAAGTGTTCATATACAAATCGATTTACGACTATGCTTCTGCAAACAAAACGTTGGAAAGCTGAATGGATTCGATCGTGTGAATGTACTTGTAAAATCGTACTGTGTGGGTAAGCTGTAACAAATATTATCAATATAACGTGTAGCCATAATCAAAGTGAAAGAAAACCTCGAAAAGAGAATCGTAAAACTTTTAGCAATAACAATTTTATACGCTTACTAGAAGATTAACTTTACAATAGCTAATTTTAATGTAGTATTAAGATCTTACCATGATATTACGTAGTATCATGATTTTATTATCTTCCAATGATTACGATAAATTAATATAATTAATGATACTTTATATCTCGTTAAATCGTTAAAATAAATATATTTCAGTTGTTTTACAAGAATATCTAAGAAGAGATAAGGACTTGAAATCATGATCGAGAAACAGTACGAAGAAAATAAATTTCTTTTTCCATTTATTATACAAAATACTTTGATAAAAGATTTTTCTCGTACGGTCTTCTTGATCATGGTGTCAAATCTTTGTCTGTTTGCATATCTGACAATCCACTTGGCCCAATAACTCATACATGTTTACTTTAATGCCTAATCGATTTTACAAACTATTATATTATGGCTCCTGGTATAGATAATCAATTCTGTATAAGCTTTAGATAGATACGGACTATTGACCAGTCGCCGGCTATTTGGTGGACGGAAAACCAAATAACTAGACTAGTAAATTCGGCGATTAAACTTGGCAATTAGAAAGTTATCAGTGTTGCATGGATCGTTGAACAAAATAGGTAGTCGAGGAGATTTTTCTGTATTATATTATATGTATGTTATTATGTCTGATTTGCAAGACAATTGTTCGTCGTATAAACTCGTGCATTTTATCCAAAGCCCTTTATTTATCGTCACGATTAGCGATGATGCTCGTGCTTAGCTCGTATTTTCGTGGTGCGTATGAGCTCATATATTCCCTTCAATCCAGCGACGTATTGATATAAAAACGACATATGTTCGTCGACGATTGAATTGTCGAATTCGTAGTGAACCTAATGATCCTTAAGTTGCTCAACGCGATATCAACGCGGATTACAATCTGGTTAAACAGATATACAAAAATTTCTAATTATATTTAATCCTAGCAAAATTTCACTTTAAATATATTTATTATTTGACCGCACGATATTATGTTTTTTATCTAGCGTATTATCACTTGACAGATTTCATAAAATTTAATGATATAGCCACACCGCGTAGGTAATATCTAGCGCTATTTTATTATATCATAAAAGGTTAAATACCATATCATATAGCTTTGATAATTCCAGGTGAAATGGTGCGAACGTATTTACGTGAATGATATGCGTTTTAGAAATGAATTCATACTATTCAATATCCAGTTGATCGTAGGTTGGAAGTTTCCTATCATCCATCTTAGTGTCCCAAGCGACTTGCATCTTTTTCCTAAACTTAAAGAGTTCTCAAGTGGAAAACGTTTCAGATGACGAATTACAACTTGCACTCAACCATCGGTTGAATGAATCGATTGATTGAACGAGTACAACAATTTTTTAACTAAAAATAAAAATAAATCCTTAAATGTAGAAAGTTATTATGCGAAGAAATAGATTAAGATACCAAAAATATTCAAAAAATATTAAATCGAACGTTTTCTTAATTTGTAAAATCTAAACTTTTGAATACTTTTATTATCTTTCACTACTCTTTATTAAATGGATTACATCCTAAAAATCATCTTCAAATAATTCAATTTTAAAGTTTAACAATATTTGTTAATTCGATAAAACTTTCTAAAGAAAAAGTAGGGAAAATAATTTGATCTATTTTTAATAGCAAAGTATTATACTATTGTAGGTAATAATATTCCTATATGAATAGTATTCTATTCTAACGTATAGATAAATCATTCTTTTTGTTATTTTATGCGGAAGATATTATCATCAAGATGGAAATTCCTTTGAAAGGAAAGATCAATCAATTGCACTCTAAATCAAATCCAATGGATGCTTCTGGTAATAAATGTCGCTCATGGGACGTCTACTGCAATCTATTAGTCACTAATAAGATTTAATACTCTGCTCGGAATATCATTTCGTTCTTTTGACGAAATAATGTCTCGAATCCGTCTATCAAAATAACTTACTCCAATCTCAATTACGCATAGAGAATTAATTGAAAAATATATTTGTGTCTATTCTTTATATGAATTAAGAAGAAGAGAGTAAGAGAAGAATGAGTATCAGTGAAAACGTTACGCATAAAATTCCGATTGGATTAGAAAAATACGAGATTTATTATAATATAATTTATTATAAAATACGAAATTTATTATAATACGAGATTATAATAAAATGACGAGAAGAGAGAGGAGAGTAAAGAGGAAATTAGGATATATGTGTATACAAAGAACGAAATACTATAACGAGTTATTTTTCTTCAATGTTTCTCAAAATGTCAAACGTTGTCAAAATTCCAAGTTTACATAATGAATGATTTAATTAAATATCATATATTATCTTCAGATTATTTGAAAAATAGGATCAGAAGATAGGGTCGATCTATTCTATTAATAGAGATAAGCAAAAAAAATGAAGAGTTCAATCATTTATATAGAGACAATACCCTGACGAATTTAAGCAATACCAGTGAGAATTAATGGAAGAATATTATGTCCAAAAGAAATTCCTGATCGACGTCATTGTCACTAGCTAGAGCAACAATTTGACGATAAAGTACTAATACTACGTCATTTTAATGTACATAGTATCGATCTCAAGTCCATCGGTGAAAAGATTAACAGGTTATCGCTCTTATTGGAACTTTAACATCATTTTTCAAAAGAATGGTTGAGTTCCAGTCCATGGTTCCTTTGAAATTTTTTTATCCTCGTGACAAGTAAAATACGACGAAAGCAAAAGAAATTTAACCTTGACCCATCGCCATTCAAAGGTGTAAAATCTTGCTGTGTTGGTCCTGACATATAATCTTCATCCACTCTGTAATAGACTACCGGCCTGTTTTAAATATGCAAGAGATCACCCAACAACTATGTGTACATAGGAAGGAAAAATAGAAAATGCAAATTGCTGCAAGTTATAAAGGTTGTCGTCCAGCTTGTAAACAATATAAACGGAAACTATTTGCTACTTTAATATTAGAATTTGTTTTAAGATGACTTTAATAATTTAATTTAATGGACTACAACGGAGATTATAAGAATTCAAAGTATATATCTATTCACACGATATCGACATTATAATGATTTCGGAAAATTCACTTCATAAATAAAAATTATGCAAATGAATAATTTAGAGTAATAATGAATGAATGAAATACTGAATTGCAAAATTCCACTAAAAATTCTAGAACATATCGAGAATGGGTCAGCATTGTTCAATATTAATTGAACAATTTTGGTGTCTAAAAAGTTAGATTTATTCTTGTATGTTGTGTATTGCACGTGTGCAACTACGAGAACGCGTTACATTGCACTTTTCTCACCGGGCCAGCAATGATAGTCAATTTGCACTCGTCTCTTCCTAGGCGTCAGAATTGTAGACCCACTGGTCACGATGAAAGAGAACGGCAGCACAAGCCTCGGAATCTGATTATTCTCCGGAAAATGTAGCAAATTAATGGGAGAACACAATTTCTTTGAAAGATTCTGTGGAGCTCGTGAGAGAAACGTGCGACAAAACGCACTTCGTGAATTTAACTTGTAACGATATATTTGAAGTACACTTAGATATAAAGATCGAGATATTCACGTTTTTTTATTGATTATCAGTGATGCTAGTAAGATTCAATTGTCTTATTCTTTTTAATTCAAAATGAATGTTAGATGATTTCTGTCGAACTATCTCATCGAAAATGATATTGAAATTAGAAAAGGGAAAGAGAAAGAGAAGAATTGAAGTAAACAAATGCACGATAAATTGATTTTATTTATCGTGAGCTTGTTAGGATAGTTCCTTCGAAATGTTTACGTAATCTTTCTTTTACGTTGTTTTACGTTCTAGTGACCGTATTGAACTCTTGAAGGTCGAAATGATATCGTAAACCTAGGTCCCAGGTAAACTCATGGCTCGCTTTGTCTAGGAGTCATTTTACTATTAATTTATAGCCCGGCTCGACACATTATCGGAGACCACGTGCGTGACTAGCAATGGTTAATTTTGGACAATGATAGCAATGTGTTTCTTTTTATCTAATCACCGTTTTAGTGAGTATCCAACGATATTCCAAAGTTAAATATACTCAATAATGCTATATAACCCGTAATACTATGAATCTCCGATGACTAGAGAGAATTAATACAAATATGTTCTATTTCATATCTTTTATATTTTTTTATTTTAAATTGATTTTTCATAAAAAATCTTATTATTAAAATTATTTATATCATACGTCTCGTTCTTGATGATAATATTGTAGTCAAGCTTGTCATATCTACAACTCACAACGTTTAACGTTGTAAATATTTTTGAAAAAACGACGCCACACTCTCCACTCTCTTATGCCCATATTGTTTTGTTATGCCAAAACGTCATAAAATTTTTTCGTATAACAAAGAAATATAATAAACTAAATCGAGTATTATATATGTAAAATGTCAGATAGAAAGAAGATAAAGTGATCAATAGGCGATCCGTTCGATCACCGAATTTGATCATTTGCTTGTTCGGTAGTTCGTCGATCTAATGTGTGGTCGACAGTGTGCATATAGCTTTATAGTCTATAGGAATTTCAAAAACAAGCATGAAAATATAAATATAGTGGGTAGTCATATAAAGTTAACTAAAGTTAATCTAATATAAAGTTAACTTAGGCATGTTCTTCGACGTTGGAAATTACAAATTACCTTGTTTAACGAATTGATTACATCATGTAATATGAACGAGTCCGTTGATTGTAAAACATAAATCAATTATAATGAAAGTTTTATATACCTTATATATTAAATTCTTAAAATTTTTCTGATAATAAAAAGAGATTAAAGAAATAAAAAATAAAAAGAGACAAGATTATGGAATTAAATTTTCTTTAATAGAAATAAATACATTGTTAACGGTATTTTGTGAAATATATCTTGGGTCAGTGTGCGCACAGTTTTAGAAAATATGTCAAAAGTGCATACCTATTCGATACAATATAAATATTTTTTTATTAAAAAATTTATTATCCTTTATTAAAAATTGATGTTTATGATTAATAATGCTGCTATTAGAGTCTTTTAATACAGTAATCATAAAAACATTTCCCTTTACGAAGAGTATCACGGTATTTACTTTCAGTTAATACAACAGTCGTTACCTTCTGTTTTTAATGTTTAAAAAATAAAAAACACCAATTTATTATAGCTTACAGCAAAGGTGAACAATTGATGCCACATGTGGCCACTTTTTCTATTTATTTCCACTAGTAAGATGGAAAGAGATGATATCCACCATTTGATACCGCCATATTATGCCTCGTGAGATGCATAGCTTTTGTTTCTAAAAAGGTGTATGGAATGGTGGCTGATAAACTTAAGTAATGGAGAAACGGATTGATTGATGGTGGGGATCATGTTCCTCGCAGCAAAAAAGTTGTCGTGTGTTTTAGACTGACACACATTATCTACAGAATCGACATGCATCATCTGCTCTCATTCTTTCTCCCTCTCTCTCCGTCTTCTTATTTCTATTTTATGTTTTTCTCTTCTATTTTGACATTACAATCCTTTGTATCTTACTTGTAATAATAATCATCGTTGAAAAATGGTTTCATTTGTATTTCGACGTAGCAGTTTTTGTTGAGGAAATAACTGAAAAGGAAAATATTTTAAGCTTACAAAAGATGTCAAGATTTGCCTATTATTGGTCATTATTCTGGCCAGTCGATATCGTCCTAGCAGACATTGAAAATCCTTAGAATACCTTTGATACTGATCTACATTATCTATGTATTTAAGCAAAATAATTTTATGAAATAAACTCGATATTCTTTTGTAAATAACTCGATCTTTTTAAAATGAACATTTCCTTCTTTAGTTTTTACCTCTATTATTGTATTCCACATCACGAAAATACATAACATTTTGAGTAAACAGAACTGTTTGTATATTTATATATAAATCATTTTCAAATTATATATAAATCAATTTCGTCTAGTTAATACGAAATACGTTTTACATGAATTTAATTTTATCTTTGAAGAGTCATCGTACAAAACAACAGGGCAAATTCTATGCCGAAAATGTATATTAATGCATTACATATCTAATTTTCACATTATAATGATCAAACAGCGTAACGTTCGCAATGATGATATAAAATATAAAGGTGATCGTTAGAAGTCATTTTTTCCATTATTACATAATCTTTTCGCAGATATCAAATCACGTGATTGTAGATTAAACTGCATTGCTAATTTCGAATCGATAGCAATATTTACCGAATTATCTTTCCTTAATTCACGTCGACTTTGTTACGATTATCTAAAGTTTTTCAAGAGGAGGAGAAGAAAAGTTCGAGAAATTGAAGCGTTGTCGGTGAAAGTCAGTAAGTTTCGTTCGAGCATCAGAAGCGCCGGAAGTCACGCGAGCTTGCACATAAGAGAGAATAAGGGTAAGAGCAGATGGACCGTGGCAAACAGCAAAATGAATAATGGTGCTTGGAACAGTTTGCCGTCGAAATTAAGCAAGGTTCCCGAGAGTTTCATTTTATAGCGGCGTACGTAATTCAATTTTCGTGTGCAGTGATTTCGTGCTCGGCTTCTTGCTACTCTTTCTCTCCTTTCTTTTCTCGCAGCTCGTTACACTAAAGAATCTTTTTACTTCGGTTCTACGTGAAGAAGAAGAGGATAAAAGATTTCAATAAAAATGTATATTTATGTCCGACGATAGACAATAAACCATATAATGGTTGATCTTCCAAAAAAAAAAAGACAAAAACAAGAGAAGGGAATAAAAATGAATATTACCTAAAGAATAGCTCTTCGGAATAATGATTCAATAAGATTAATTTTCACGATTTTAATATATTTCTTGTCGTTATGTGCAATATGATATATTAAGATATTTTACTCGATTTTTCTATGTGTTTAATTGATATGCGAAAATTATTATCAAGAGGAAAACACTGTTTCATCTATGACGATATATGTAAGGTTTTCTTATCCTTCGATATAATAAAATACATCGGATAAAGAAGACTTCTCTCATCGCGTACGTACTTGAAACCCCTAAAGGAGAGTTGAGAAGCCCGTAGGTACTTAAAACGATCCTCGTTTCGAGTTGTCACGTTTCTTTGTGTGAAAACATTGAATGTGCTTTCTCCAATGAGGAAGCGCAATTACATCGAAAGTATCTTATCGTTCCGTACCTACGTGACTGAAGTAAGTGCCGCAATCATCACGACGCTATCGATTTTTCGAGCTCGAGTGCTTTCAATGCTATCCCGAGTCCTGTTAAATATTTAATCGCATTTCCAAACTATCGGCAGAATCCTTACGTTTTAAAAAGTCTGATGCTCATTCAACGGGTACAAATACGAAACGAGCTGAGAATTCAAAAATAGGGTAAGAGAAGTAGAAAAAGCGATATATAGAGGAATAATAAATGCGATAGATTTCTTTAAAATGTATTCGGGTATGCATACATATATCTACTTCTTTGACACCATGCATATAACGTAAAAAATATTTGTTTGCATCGCAATAAGCCAAAGAGATATTTAGATGGCTTTAGTTAAAAGGACCATCCTGTACATATAGTATCTTTTAAAGGAAATACGAGATAAAAGGAGAAATAAAGAAAAGAAAAAATGTAAGAAGATTTACTTAGAGAGAGTAGAAAATTATATCGTATGACGGATCAATGATAAATGTACTTAACGTTAGCTTTTCCTTCGTGAAAGGGAACAAAGACCAAATAAGAGAGTAAATAAGATCTGTCTTAGGTAATAAGAGCTATTCGTGAAAAGAACGTTAATGTTGGAAAGATTTGAATGAATTCGGCTTATCGACATTTTTTATATAATAATACCTGATCAAACGAGATAATAGAAGAACAGTTGGCCCAATTATTTAAATTAATTCTTTGATCGATTATCACATCTAGAATTTCTAATTAATTCCTCTTGGAATATTGTAAAATTACTAGTTAGAATGATAAAAATAAATACTCTGATTAATGTAAATAAAAGCTAAGAATGGATATATACTTTTATTATTTAAACAAGATATTCTCGTTTATCTCGAAAAATCGAAATGTCTCCTGAGGGACTGAATTTATCGAAAATAAATTCTTTTATTAATTTATTTTGTATAAATGGAAACATATGATACCAATTTTTTTGCAAGTCGATAAAGAAAATTTCAAATTCAAATTAACTTTTTCCGAATGAAATTATATATTTTCCTTTTCATAGTACGATAGCATTTATTGAAACAAATTCAACAAAGTGCCATATGAGATCATATGTTTATACGATTATTATATATTATTATTGTAAAACATTATAAATTTGTAAATCTCTCTGGATGTATATTTGATTGCATCCTGTAAACGAAGATCCAAATTGCTTATCTCACTTATATGTACGTATATAACATTTGATAACTCGAGAAACATAAGAAATAATCAGTATCCAGCTATATACACTAAGTATGCTTTGTCAGAAACTCAGATCCACACAATAGAAAATATTTAAAAAGAACTTTTATAGGATTAATTATCAATAGCATCAATTATGCAAATTTAATAATTTAGTTTTCAAAAGGGAATAATAAATGGCGAAAAGGAAAGAAAGGAGCAATAGATCGAACTTCTTTAAAATTATAATAATTATTTTCTTAACAATGGCTTCTTACTGCTACGAATTATTGCTTCGCAATTGACTAAACAATTCATCACGGAATGTCTTCTTCATTTTGTAGGATATAACTTTACTTTGAGATTAGGATATTTATTAGTGTATATATCTGACTGTGTGCGTAATCGTATGTGTAACTGCGTAGTTTTAAGCAGTGTTTGTTTTTGAACAGTCTTATTTTTAGTTCTACGTCAAAATGTTTGGATACCGCCAAGGACTATCCGCTTATGTTCTATTGTGTGATTACGTTTTATTTTTACATTACAGTTTATTTAACATCTTATGAATGGTCATTTGTTACTGATGACCCAAAAAGACGTCAAATGAATATTGTATGCGAAAAGTAATATTGTAAGCGTTTTCGATCTCACATCCAATTGATATTTAAGATATCAATGAGCTCAATATTACAGATTTATCTATTATACGTTATTTTATAATTTATCAAAATGTTAAAGATAGATATTTCTATGAAGTTTTACTTAAGTGTAAATAATTAACGATATAGTCTCATCATGCCAATAAGGAATTAAACTTATCATTTTTCTTTTTTTTTTTTTCTTTGAATACATACTAAAATTTAACTCTATCATAATCGATGAACAAAAGTCATCAATTAAAATGATCGATTTCTTTTTCGTTCCTTTACAACTTTGAACTTTCGAATGTTATAGCTTTGCTCTCGATTTATTTGAATTAATACATGATTTTAATACTTTATTTTTTTGTAAATCGTTGCAGAATGTCTAATGAAAATGCAGCAGTTTGCGGTTGCGGTATAACCGTGGATGTGTCCAGAAGAAAAGTACCTATATGGAGGCATAGCAAGTCCGATGGTCGAAGCTCGAAAAAACAGCAAAACGATGGCCGTGGATCGAAAAATAGAAATTCTGAAACTGGAAGCACTAGTACTGTGACCGACCATGCGAAGCCAATGACAAAGAGTAGTAAACAGGAAAAACGTTTCAATCGCCCGAGGAGGAGTGTAAGCGCTGGACCCGTCATACCTGACTACACATATATAAGTTAGTATATAATGTTTCATTAAAGACATATTAAATATAATACCTTGTTAAAATTACTATAGTATTTGAAAATAATGGGTACAGACGATATTGGGTCATAAATTTATGTACAGATAAAACTATAGATATCATACACAATAGACCTAATGTTACAAGATGAAATACAAGAGATTACATACATATGTACGTCATAAACATAATCATTCTTTTATATATATATAAATACTTATATAAATATAATATCAGAATATGAAGAAAAAATGGAAAAATATGCACCGTTAACAAAAGAATAAGAACGAATACAAAAACAAAAACAGGTTATCATGATTTTTTGGATTATTTTAATCACATATTTAAAACACTCAAATCATTTACTGAACATTTAAGGTAACTTAGCAAACATATACATGAATAGACATATGTCTAGAAAATATGTAATATAGTTCCGTCGTTTTTCAACAAGAACAACGTCGTTTTTCTCCTAAACTTGATCAATACTCATTGAGAATGAATGCTGAACTCTACTCTATTCGTGCATTTCAATCGTTCACATGAAGCATATATTATCTGATTTCTGCATTTAATCCAAATCTTTTTCCTTCAATCTCTTGATACGATAGATTTTGTTATCCTCATAATTAAAAATCATCGCTTACAACTTCATTCACTGAACAATATTCAAATATAAATACTCTGTCTTTTAGCTCAAAAAAGGATTATCAAATACTTCACTTATTATGCTTACAGAAGTTTGTTTTTGCTCTTACTTTGCGGCTACTTAACATATCAACGCTGTTTAAATACTAAAAATGCCGTTGTTTCTCATTGTGGAAGATAAATACCCAAGAAAGTGTTTATATTCCTCTTATTCCTCGAATCGTGAAATATTTTGTTGTTGATATCTTATATAAACTAAAACACTACATTTACCAAAGTTTTTAAATTCATATTTTACATGTATATTTTCCATTTTTAGCTGTATCGCAGCACAACAATGCAAACGATTGTTTATTGTTGTTCATATTACAACTCGCCAATTCCATCGTTGGTTCGCTTCTTTTATTTTTCGAAGCTTTCACCGAGCAATTCATCCTCTGCTGTTGAATTTTAAGATTAATTCACTCTTTTTTCGATTTCCGATATCAAAATAGACTCTCTCTTCCAAGCTAAATCGTTCATTTCCTTTTATTGTTTTTCTTTCTTTTATTCGTACAAACGATGAAGAATTTTTATTTTTTTCCTTTCAATGTTAAATTTAATAAACTTTCAACTTATATATTAAACAGTTGAAAATCTTTTTTTCAATGGTCAACAACACTTTATAAAATTTCACATTGTTGGTTTCTGTATATTATGCACTGATATTAAAAATCATTCCTAAATAAGTTCTAGCAATGAATGTAATCGTAAGTCCTCAAATACTCTTATTTCAAGCAGATTGAATTATACAGATTGAATTTATTGAAAATTCTTATATAATAATACACCATATTCATAGTATAATGAGATAATAGTATATATTTCATAAGCGCAAAATTTAAATAAATATTACGTCAGAATAAATGTACGTAAATGTTACAGATGAGTATTGATACCTTCGTGCGTATCAATACTCATCTATAAAACATTTTACAACAATATTGATAAAATGGAATTACATTTAACTCGTAAGGATTCCACTCGACATACTCATGCCAATGACGTGTGAAAAGTCAAATATTCTTATGACAGCTGATCTGTTTTTGGCTCGCTACACTTGCGGTTATATTACACGTATATAACGCTTACGTTTTGACAAATACATAAATTCATTTCTGTTCTATTTTTCATGGTTGTATTTTTCTTCCCTTCATAAATTTTATTTACAACATTCTTATCTAAAAGACGACGGAGACGCGGTTAGTTTTGCTGAACAATAGTAAATGGAGCAAGATAAATGACGTTCGATCGTTCATCGATTTTATAAGTTTTTTATTTACTCAAACATAAATGCAATTAGTGAATGAATTATAATCGTCCAATTGTACTTTATTATTTAATCGTATTTACTTAATAATGAAGTTAATTTGTAATTACGTTATATATTATTCCTAATGAATTCTATTACCGTTAGTTATATCGCGTTCGATAAATTCAGAGACGTGATATCTAATTACTTTTTGAGAAAACAAATTCAAACTCTCTTTAGTGACAAAAGTAGTTTAGTAACAAGAGCTATAAAGTCTCGAAAATCGATGATATATACAAGATGCAAATTACAATTACTTAAGTTCAAGTAAATATGTAATACTGCAAATCCCAATAAAGCACTCGAAGTTCGCGCAAATGTAAAGTCCCAAATGTATAATAATTTTAAATTGAATTCTGAGTTTACACTTTTTAAGTTTTTATATTGTGTTCTGAGCTTTTACATTAAACTTACTTATATCAACACCACGAAGATTTCTCTCCTCTAATGGCAATTAAGATGGAATTATGATTTTTCAAATACAAATTACTATCAATAATGATTCTATTCTCGAAGAGAGAAAGTTTGGGAAATATCAAAAATGAGGTAGATGTAAAAAGATACTGCGGCGAACAAAAGTATTTGTATAATAAGGAAACTATAAAAGAAATAATGATAGTTTGTAAATCAATAACTATATTTGAATAAACTTTGTACGATATTTAAAGCAATATTCAACATAAATATATACAAAAAATAAAAAATAAAAAATATATATATATATATATATATATATATATTTAGCGCAAAGTTTATTCAAATAAAGTTATTGATTTACAAGTTATAATTATTTTTTTTATAATTTCCTTACTCTATGAAATCAAAATATTTGCCAACACACAATACCATAAAATAACTTTTATTGAAAATAACTTTTATGTTGATTTATGCGAAATAACAATGGCTGCCAATTTGTCATGGTGGTATTCAAATAATCTTGTACGGATAAAGCTAAAAAATAAATATACATATCAAAACGAATTAATAGAATTTCGGAAAAAATTTTGCATATATTTTGCATTAATTTTACATATATTTTGCATATTTTGAAATATAAAATTTGCATAAACGTCCGCAACATAATCATTTTACATATATTGCAAAGAATATTTGATTGCAATCTTTGTAAAGTTTCTATATTCGAAGTGCAGGACATAATTGAATAAAATATATTCGGACAGGTTTTAGAATAATCTTGTATATCGTTGTTTTCTAATTTCAATTTACGTCGTCTTCCTATCAACTAGTACAGCTTTTTTGTTTTTTACTTAAGTCAAGCATACCTGGCCTGTATATGCTCTTTCCATGCTAATCTCCTATCTAAAATTATGTTGAGGTATTTAACTGAGTTCTTTTTGTGAAATTATTATATCGTTTAATTGCATTGGAAGCCATATACTTTTGCATACGTTGAAAGTTATATAGTTTAATTTATTTTCATTTAATTGTGCGCTTTAAACTTTTTTTTTTTAAGATAGCTTTACTGTCCAGATGTTCTTGTAAATTTGTAGTAAATTCGGAAAGATTGAAAGAATTACCGTATTATCTGCAAATATAGCTGTGATTACTTTTGCAGAAATTGGTATATCTGCAGTGTAAGTAAGGTACAGGATAGGTCGAAGCACGCTTCCCTATGGAACTCTAGAGTTGATTGGAAAGGCTGAGATAATTACTTTTTGAAATTGAACTTCAAATTTCCTATTAATTAAGTACGATCGCAATATGATACAGAATTCTTTTAGCCTATACAGGATATTGGTGTGACAAACTTTATTAAATGCTTATTTAATATTTAAAAAGGCACTAATATCTTTTACTTTCTAGATCTTGTCTTATATGATCGATCAATCGATAATCTTATTTCGTTCGTCATATGCCGTTTTCTAATCATTCTAATCATTTTCCTGTTTTTTGTACTCTTTAGTTCATGGCAAATTGTTTAATGTTCCAAACCTGCTTATGAGGACGTCTGACCTGATAAAATCTGGTCTATACGAGGGACGAACGTCATAAATTTAAGACTCCTGGTCTTAACATTAACAATATCAATAACTTTCAAAAAAAATAATTTCTTAAATTTTAATTAGTTTCGATCAATTCTATTATATTTGTTAATTGAATATCATCAAATTGATATTGATTGAACTATAGGTTTCCAGACATACGAAATTAATTGATAAACTTTCGAAAGATACTATCTTTCGTTTAAGAGCTCCTTCAGCAATATCTCGAAGAAAAGAATAGTCATCTGGTTGCATTAACTTAATTTACTCTACTCTAATTAATTACGATTTTCTACAGATCCGAATTCAAACATACTCAATGGACCGATTCGTGAAACCATATCTGAGGCTCTCTACGTGACTATACCGGATACACCAAATGCAATGGCCAACGATACCGGAAATAGTCTAACGAATTCGCAAAACCGATCGCCACCTGTCTATACCATCCCTTCAATGACTTCACCTCCGCCTACGTATGATGCCACCGTCGCAAAATCATGGCAGGTAAATTTTTCCATTTCTTCAAAAAAAGAAAAAATAAAAGAAGAAGAAAAAAAAATTGCAAATATAAATAAAATAAAAATTATTCAACAATAGATTTGAAATACATTTTGCACGTTTCGCGATGAGTACACTGAACTTGGTATTATTAATGGTGTACGTATTAATGATGTATTGAAAAAGTTAGAGAAAATCATGCGTTGTAATAAATCATTACAACGTCAAGGACATTTTGGTTGGCAAAAACATATCTGACATATTCTTTTTATGTTTGACGTTAATTCGTTTATCATATAATAACGAAATAACAACAGATCGATGTGATCTATTTCATGACAAACTAGTTATTTTACTTCTCGCAGAAGAGTTCTAGAGTCTATCTGATGCGATTGCCTTCGAGTTGTACTTGAATCTCTTTTTCCTCCTCTTGTAGTCTATTAGCATCTGTTATTTCTCACAGTTTCCAAGTTAGAAAAAATCAATATTGATTAGCTATCTACCGATTGGTCTTGGTGAAATAGTATGAGTACGGAGATATAACAGGGCCAATAAACTTTGCTTCTCCGTCCATGGCATGGGTGACCCACTTCTCTTTTTTTAGTCCTTAGGAAAACAAGGATAAGGATTGCGTATAGTGTGGACCCGAAAACTCCAAGTTGCAATGTTTGTGTTGACTTATTTCTTACGAATCTGGTAACGTTAAAGTTACCCAAATCTGCCTGGAGTATTTACCGATAAGATAACAACAACCAACGAAAGGATTGCAATTCTCAATGATTACAATGAAATCGAAATAAACAATTGATTTTTCATTCTTGTTGTCAAAGATTTGTTATCAGAGACAATCCTAACTTTGCTTGGTCAAATTCACTTGAAATGAATATCTTGCTTGCGGTCATACAATAGCGGCAGTAGCACCAGTAGTAACTGATTTCTAGTCGGATACTATTTAGAGATACAGAGAGAGAGAGAGAGAATATGTGTGTGTGTAAGTGTATGTGTGTGTAAGTGTGTGTGTGTGTAAGGGTCAATGGCCAAGCAATGTAACGCTCGACCGGTTCTTGCAAGCTCTTAGCAAATAAATTGATACAATTTACGAACTTGGAATATCAAGATTATAAATTGAAATAAAGTCAATTTGAAATGAGATTTTCGCATTAAAATATTAATTTTGACGTAAGAAATAAAATCGATATAATTACACCTTTGAAATACATATATATGCAATATGGATACGCATACGATCAGTACGTATTAGTTCATTTCAAACGAATAGATTTCAGGAGTTCAGTGACCTGATTATACCGGATCAGATCTTGTTATAAATTCGAAAAGGAATTGAATCATTGAAGAAGTGTGATTGTAAAAAAGAAAAGATAAAGAAGATCAGTGAAGTGAAAAGGTCAGAGAGGAATAAAAAAAGAAGCAGATTCAGTGCAGGACTTTTTCCGAAGCGAGAAATCCTTTCTCTAATTCGCTTGGCTATTCCATTTGGTCACGTATAGCTTCCCGGCGCCGAATCTAACATAAATTCTATGATCATGTCATGTCAACTTTCAAAAAGATATCTTGCGTATTTCGAAGAAAAAGAATAGAAAGTATTATCAGACAGGAGATCTCTGTCCATGTCATTCTTTATTTTCATTCTATTCGTCTACATTTTTCGATCGCAGACCGAAGGAAAAATAACGCAATATTACTTTATCAGTCGGTTACGTTAGACGATATTGTAACATCCCTGATCCAGTTCCCAATGAAATTGATAAAAAAATTATTATTTTTATTTAATGCTCTGGAATAAATGATTCTTCGAGTAATCCTTCCTGAAGTTCTCTGAAAATCCATTTTTACAAGTTCTTTCTTTGCCAGAAAACTTTTCTAGGCGGACAAACATGTGTATATTTGTTCGTCTTTGGAACAATAATAATAGAAGCAATGAGAGAAAATAAGTTTGAAAATGAAAGAAGAGTTTGGATATCGTTTCAAATGAATGAAGCGTTCATTTTCATTGGCAAATTGAAACAACGTCGTAAGAACTCCTTGCATTGGAGATTGTACAATTGAAATTTCAATTTATAGACGTAATTGTAAAGAGAATTATAAATCTAGAATCCATAAGGAAGTTAATAGATAATTTTTCATGCGTATTCTATACACGTAATATTGAACGCGAATTTTTAAATTTGATATTCTTTCTTCGATCATTGATTAAATTTTTCATTAAGTTAATTTCTAATGGATACTTGATATCGATGCTTAATATGTATTAAAAAAGATCCTTTTGTGACTCGGCTTAATGTCTTAAACGACATGTATTTTCAATTAAAAACACTCTACGCACGATGACTTATCAACTTACTCTTCTAACGTTCCACTCGTATTTATTTTATACACATATACGAAACGTCACGTGAGAAAGGGTCCGTTTACGCAAAGAAAATTGATACAAATGTTGTGTCGACGACTTCAATGTCAATGAAATTTCTCTAGACCTTTACTAACAAAATGACTTTTAAGGTCGTAAATGTAATAAAATACTAAGAAAGGGGAGATACAAAGCGATCTTTTAAAACGCTTTGGTTACTATCGCATAAGAAAATATTTTTTCTTATCGAGAGAAGATAAGAAAAGTAAAATCAAATATATGTTGAAAAAAAAGGGACATTCTACGAATTAAATCTTATTAATATGTAATTATTATTTTCATCTTAGAGTATAATCATCTTAAGTAATGATATAGTAATCACGACAAAAGGTGAAAATTGACAAGAATTATTTTAATCCAAACCTGGAATAATTTATTATCGTCAATAATTTGAAAGAAGTCTAAAGAAACGTTTCAAAGAGAAGTGGAACGTAATTGTATTGAAAAGCATTAATAATGATAGCTCGTAAACTTCACGTTAAACGTCGCTTCTTACAAAGGGAAATTAATTAATTAAAATGTTTTTAGCCGTCAATATGTTTGAAAGTCCGATTATTATCGAAGTGATATGAACGGATTTGGGATATATCAATTGGGAATAAAAAAGAAGGCTCGAAATTTTTGAGACATCCCAAATAACGAGCTCGATTCGAAATCTAGAAAATTACAATTCCCAGAAAGATAGAAATTCATGGATTATATCGGGAACGATCATACGCGAAATAAAAAAAGAAATGCAAAAGAGTATAGCTTATTGATAGAACATTATATCTGACGATATGTAGATATATATATTTATACATAAATATCTACATATATATATATAATTCTCGATTGGTTTTCTCATTATTTATTGCACACTCGACTTAACGCGAATTTAGTTAAAACGTTAATTTCCACCTCGTCAACTCCATGTTTAAATTCCATGATTAAATAATCGCGGTGATTTCTCACTAATTTTACAAATTTATCGCATTGGCAATACAGTGCGACAAATGAATTAGATTTATCGGTTATCGATGGAAAAGAGAAAAAGAGACAGACAGATAGAGGGGAATAAAGGAAAATAAAAAAGAAAAGAAATAACGTAAAATAGGTTTTTCGAAGAACGAAATTTTTGGAACGTAGTTAAAAACTTGAAAGTATATCTGTCAAAATTGATCGCCTGTTTAATTTATTCTTCTTTTTTCCGAAGATTTTATTTTAAAATACATAACATACGATAGGCTCTATCGTCTGTCGATTGAATGAAAATCGTTTAATTGATATTATTATTTCATTCGAAATATCTATTTATTTATATATTCGTGTTGTTCTTTTTTCGATTAATTCGTTCTTTGTATATTATGTTAGATATCTCTAAGATATCCTATCATAGGATTAAGAAAATGTTCGTGCGTATCTATGAGTGTTGAAGAAATGATAGTCTAAGCGTAATCCTAGAAGTAGTGAGCGATAAAAATGAGTGTCTATGTACGTGCGAAGATTAGACGACGTCTAGCCGCACTTTGTCTGAATGCGCTTTGTTTGGACGTAGTTTGTAGGCCCACGTTCTAAAAGTTATACTTGGATGAAAAAAACGATAATAAGCCAGGGAAAAAAAGATATGATTACCGATGCAAAAGACTAGACGAGAGTATAAGAGAACAGAGCAAAGCAGAATTTTTGAGTTTTTATCGAGCATCGAGTGTCGACCGAATATACAAACGAAAGGAAATTCGTATATCTCGAAAGACAATAGAGAATTTATTTATTTATCTGTATTTTATAAAGTCTTTGTTATTTTGCTTTAAAATTGTTGCTTAAAAAATTGCCAAATACTAAACACCACTTACATTATTTCGACGAACCATACAATTTTAATATTTTTCGTCGAAAAACGGTCTAATAAAGGATTTTACGAATTTCATAAATTGATTCTCAAACGATCAGCTTGATAATTCAATGCAATTGATTCCGCAATTTCATGCAGTAAATTTCTCAAAGGCTAAGCAATTGATTTTCTCTGATCGTTTCTAAAAGCTTTATACGCTTTGTCCCTTAAAAGTGTTCCATTTATTTCTTCTTTTATCATTTCTTTGAGCAATTTTAAAGCAAAATAATGCAAGAAAAAGCAAAAAGAAATTTTCACCATTAAATACGAATAACGATAAGCATAGAGTTAAACGTTTATTATTATATTATCGATTAAACGAAAATTCGAATATAAAAAGAAAATCATTTGAATGAATCATAACATTATTATGTATAATAAAGATTTTTTACTTTCTTATGAATGTTTTAAAATGTTTTATAAACGTTTCATTATTTTATTATCGCTACAAGAATTAACTTTTTCAAAATATTCTTCTCGTAATAAAAATATATTTAAAATTTAACAAACATCCTTGCTTTCTCATCAAACATAATCTATTCTTGTTTCTCTCGATCAATTATCGAATATTATTATTTGTTGCTCCGTTGTTTTTGATAATCAATGCCCTATTATATTTTGAAATAGATACGTGAAATATCCAGAAACGAAATCAGATTGTCGTCTGGAAAAGTTAAAATGACTCAAAGTCGTTAAAACGATCCG